TTTTTTTTTTCATATTTCTCAGATGATTCCCAGATGGTCTAGGATGTGTGCGGTAGGGAGTGAAATCCAGCCCTTGAAAAGTTTCCAATTTTCCTTTCCAGGTTCAAGATATTTGAGGATGTCCGGAGGCTCATCCAGCCAAGTGATATTATAAATAAAGTTGTCTACAGTTTAGATGAGCCTTGGTAAGTGGTCTTGTGCATCCACGGAGTTTGGGGGTATGGAGAATTCTGTTAATGGCTGAGAATAGGAGTGTTTCACATTAGTAATCTATTCCTAACTCTAAAAACAGCATGATGAAAGTTCAGGTTAAATATCTATAAGAGAAATTTTATATTTAAGAAATGTCAAACTGTGTCCAAGGATAGCAATAACACATATGTTCGCATGTTCTCTATTTCATTATAGGCCTTTGCAAGACACTGCTTCCAATTGCTTAAGGTTCTTCTCCAAGTTTGAGTCAGGAAATCTTCGCAAAGCCATCCAAGTGCGTGAGTAAGTAAGGAAAGCCATAAAGGGTAGATCCCAGCAGCTCAAGAGAGCAGGTTGTGTCTATATCTTCCCCATTCTCTGCTCAGTGACCTTATGCTAGTAGCTTAAAATCAGCTGGGATAGGAGTATTTACACCATGAAAATTGGCAAATGCTACAAATGACAATTTTTCCTCTCAGAGTCAGTTGTTAACCGTTTATCAGCACACCACTAGGGACCTCACTAACTGATGTCATAGCAAGGTGAACTATTCACTAGAGGTAAACTGTTACAAATACATCTTATGCTCCAAATAATGGGTCCATATTGGGTGTGACAAGACTTTGCCTGGGATATTTATTCAAGGGTTCTTCAAAAAGTTTGTGGAGAAATAGAATTAAAACATAATATGAATGTTTTTGAAGACCTCTTATTGAGGTTTCCATTGATGCCAAGGCTGGTTCTGTAGACAAGGAAAGGCACGTGGGGTTTCCTATTCCTGCACCCCTCCATGTCTGTTGCTCCCATAGCAGTGCATTTAGGTGGCAAAAATCTTGGGATCCCCATAAAGAGGTGAACTATTTTTCATTCAAGGGGATGTGCAGTGCCATGCCTCTCTGGCAGGACCTACCAATGAGCTCTTATTAATAGAAAAGTCAAGGAAAGACTAGGCTGCACAATCTAAAAGGAAAGAAATAATTAAAACACAATGAGTACAAATTCTTTTTTCAGTGGCAGAAGAGACTGCTGTTCTCACTAAGTTATAATTCTTCCTGCTATAGCAGTGTGGACTATATTTCCCATATACCAAAATGCAAGATAAACTCATATATAATTGATCTTCTAAGGGTGATCTTCTGAAAACAACAGTCCTGGACAGTAATGGTGTAGTGGCCACGGACTTTAGAATCGACTGCTGGAGCAACTTCACCCCTTTCTAACCAGGACACTGAGCGAGTTACCTAACTAATTTTATGCCTTTACTTCCTCACCCACAGAATGGGGACAGTAATGGCACCTACTTCACAGGGATTTTATAAAAGTTACATAACACACATAAAGCTTTTAGAATAGTGCCTGGCACATGGTAAGCACTCAGTCAACATAAGCTCTTAATTGGAGTTGCACATTTACCATGATGAACTCAGAACTTAGTATTGCTCAGGCCTGTTTTATATCCACCTGAGGAGTCATTTTTGAAGTTTTTCTTTTTGGAGGGAGGTGAAGGGTGATATCTCTCTCTCTGTCTCTCTTTTTTTTTGGTGCATGAAATATTTCAAGGAAGCCCAACATATAAAACAGATACAGGTTGAGCTACTTGAGCTGTTCAAGAAAGGAAAGACAATCATGTCAAGATTCCTTCTCTGCGTCCTTCTCTTTCTGTTGTCAGCTCAGCTTCTACTTCATCTTGTGGCTCCTGTTTTCATTATTACTTCTCTCCAGATTCCATATTCAAAGGATCCAAGAGAGAAGGCCTGATTAGGAGTGTTCTAGTGGGACAGTTATCAGTCCAGGATGTGCCTAAGCTGCTGGCCGGTTCGGGTCTCTTTCTCTACACATCGCCTTTGAGCAGAGTGTAGAATGTAAACTGATCAGTTGTGGTCAGGGTAACAGAGTCAAGTGACAGAAAACAAACCTACTTCAGGGTAAGACATTTTTGTGATCACTTTTTGGAGAGAGCACTGTGAGAATAGCAGACAATTTGAGGGACATAGAGTTTTCAGGATTGTTCTTATGAGTGGGCTCTGCTTCATTGGTTGCCTGGTGAGCCCAGTGATTAGAGTGTGGTGCTTACAGTGACAGTGTGGGTGGTGGGACTCCACCAGTTAGTCCTGCTCCACTCGCATGTGCCTTGTACCAAGCTCTACCCTCCATATATCTCACTATCCAATGCCATTTATCAGGGGTCTTAAGTGGGAGAGTATGAATAAATCAGGACAAAAACATTACCCTTTTTAGAAGAGCAACTTCAAGAGAATACCAAGAG